TTCTCATTCTCTTGACATGGGCTTGCCCAGAGTGGAAGTTTGTAGCTTTAATGAAGTCCAGCGTATCAGTTGTTTCTTCTATGGGTCATGCCTCTTGGTGTTGTATCTAAAAAGACATCATCATACCCAAGATAGATGTGGACCTTTGAAATTGCTCCTAATCTTCCTTTTTTATCCATTGTGTGTGTGTGTGTGTTTTATTCTGGTTGTCAGGTCATCCATGAGCCTGTCCTTGTTTTGTGGGCACCAGATCCCCACCTTGCTGCCTGGGGCTGTGTGTAGCTTGGGGGAGTTGTTTTTTCCTTTTAAATAGTCTTCTGTCTTGCTTCCTCCGTGTTGGTGACTTTTTTTTTTTTTTTTAAAGCTTTTATCCATTTTGACAGAGAGAGACACAGTGAGAGAGGGAACACAAGCAGAGGGAGTGGGAGAGGGAGAAGCAGGCTTCCCGCCAAGCAGGGAGCCGGACGCGGGGCTCGATCCCAGGACCCCGGGACCACGACCCGAGCCAAAGGCAGACGCCCAACGACTGAGCCACCCAGGCGCCCCTGTTGGTGACTTTTTAAAGGGAGCTAGGGCACAGATGTTCTGGGTCCTCCAGATACCAGCAGCCACACCGTCCCACGTGGATGCGGGCGGCAAGCCCCAGTTCGCTTGCTCTAGAAAGGTCCCTTCCCTGCAGAGCTGAGGAAGAACATGAGGTCCGACTCCACCCACACTTGCGTTGGCTTCCAGAGCTCATCGCCCCTTTTTTCTTTTTGTCTTTGTGGGTCGGGCATCTCTTCCTTAGTGACTCGGCAGAACTGACATTGAAAGTGTGTGTTCCCCAGAGAATTTTTCCTCTTCTGTATGTATGAGGAAAATTGGCTGTCTGTACAAAAAGGAAATGTTACAGTAAAGATTATTTTACATTTTAACTTTTTGAATAGGTAATATTGCTCAGAACCAAAAGAATAAAAGCGTGTCAAAGATGCACTGAAGCAGGGCGCCCAGCTGGCTCATTCGGTGGAGCGTGCGACTCTTCATCTCAGGGTTGTAAGTTCGGGCCCCATGTTGGGCGTAGAGATGACTTAAGATCTTTAACGACATCCCGAAACAAGTGCCCTGAAGCCAGTATGAAGGCCTCGCCTGGGCATGCCTGGGCCGCTGGAACATCAAAGCCACCAAGTAAAACAGGAGTGCCACGCCTTGTGGGTACCTGGGGACAGTGCTGACTGACCGCTGTCAGAATGACTAGGCAGACAGTGACCTGGCCAGGGTGTGTTGGCTGCTGAAACCAGAGGGAGTGGGAGTGTGTGTGTGCTCACGGTAGTGAGAGCCAAAGCAGTGGAGAGCTGGTGACACCACCGGAGCCTGTCCTCAGAGGTGAAGTGGGGCGGGCCTGCGTCTCGTCCATGCTCCAAAGCCTAGGGAGCTCCTGACCGCTCCTGGGGGACGGGTGTGCGGGCAGCGGGGCTCCCCCCTGGGCTCAGGAGCGCTCGGTGTGTGGCTGCCTGGAACACACTGCTTGGGGACACAGACCAGCCTCTCGGTCTGAAGGCTGCCCCCACACCCTGCTGCTTGGCTTTTGCTCGGTGCTAAAAACCCAGATTCCTGGTGGTCTGCATTTGAGAAAGGGACCGTTTCTCCCAAGTCCCTGTTTGGAAAGGAAACTGTTGAAGAATGAAAGTACTCCTGTGCCCTGGGGGGTGGGGAACTGTGGATGGTACACTGCTCCCCCTGTGGCCATGGCCACCGGAGTCTTTCTGCCCCCCCCCCCCGACTTGGGCCCTGGTGTCTGCTGTGAACGAGGGGACCCTGTGCGGCCTAGGGGCTGGCCTCCTCGCTGGGGTGGAAGTGCCCGCCTCACAGGCTCCCCCTCGGACTTCATGGCTGGTGTGCTGCCCAAGGGCCCAGGTGAGGTCTGGCTCCAAGTCCTGCCTGTGGGTGAGTGCTGAGCTCTCAGCACATCGGTGAAGGTCGGTCTGGCCTGTGTCACTGGTGGTATGGGTGTTTCTACAGACCTTGCATTCATGCAAAGCCATGGCCGTCGGGTGCTCAGCATTCCGTCTGCACCGGTCACGTGTCGTACATCATAGCCAGGGCAGTTCGAGCAGACGTGGGCATCACTTCCTTAGGCGACCGCAGCCCCCAACTCCAGTCACCCCTGTCCTGAGATTCCCAGACGCTCCTTCTAAGGGCAGGACTCCGTTTCTGCTGCGTGGGAACCAGGGTTCATCCACTTCTACCCTGTGAGCTTTCAGGAGTCAGGCCTGTCCATCCACCAGAGCTGGAGGGAGGGCCCCAAGCTGCTTCTGGGCTGCTGGCCCTGGCAGCCCTGGCAGCCCAGGCAGAGACTTGGGGACTGCTGTCTCTACAGGTTTCTCTGGCCAGTGTTGCTCCCACCCGTCTACAGCATGGGAAATATCTTCGCAAACCTCTTCAAGGGCCTTTTTGGCAAAAAAGAAATGCGCATTCTCATGGTGGGCCTGGATGCTGCGGGGAAGACCACCATCCTGTACAAACTGAAGCTGGGTGAGATCGTGACCACCATTCCCACCATAGGTGAGGAGCGTGGGCTGCAGGGGTGGGCCGGGGGTCGGAGGGGGCTCTGGGCAAGGCTCACCTGGGTGGTGCTGCCACAGGCTTCAACGTGGAGACCGTGGAGTACAAGAACATCAGCTTCACCGTGTGGGACGTGGGCGGCCAGGACAAGATCCGACCTCTGTGGCGTCACTACTTCCAGAACACACAAGGTGAGCAGAGGGGCGGTGGCCCGTGGCAGAGGTTGGGGAGCCCTCGACACTGTCCTAACGCCCGCGGCTCCGCAGGTCTCATCTTCGTGGTGGACAGCAACGACAGAGAGCGCGTGAACGAGGCCCGTGAGGAGCTCATGAGGATGCTGGCGGAGGACGAGCTCAGGGATGCCGTCCTGCTGGTGTTCGCCAACAAGCAGGTACACGTGCACGCGGGACCCAGCCGCCCTGTGCTGGCGGTCGGCGGGCGGGGGAGCGCGGGGGCCACAGGTGGGCACAGGTGGTCCTTGCAGTGTGCTGACCTGAGGCCGCCGGGCCTGTCCCTCCAGGACCTCCCCAACGCCATGAACGCGGCTGAGATCACGGACAAGCTGGGTCTGCACTCCCTGCGCCACAGGAACTGGTACATTCAGGCCACCTGTGCCACCAGCGGGGACGGGCTGTATGAGGGACTGGACTGGCTGTCCAATCAGCTCCGGAACCAGAAGTGAGCCGCGTCCCCCCCCCCCACTCCCTCTTTCCACCCTGCTTTACTCTCATGTGGTGTGAGTGCCAGAAGCTGTCTCCATGGTCGGTCACAGTGTGCTTCACCATGCTGTAAATGTGCAGACGCAGCCTGCAGCCGGGTTTTTATTTAATGTAAATAGTTTTTGTTCCCAACGAGGCAGTTTCTGGTACTCCTATGCAATATTACTCAGCTTTTTTTATTGTAAAAAGAGAATCAACCCACTGTTCAATACTGAGAAGGGATGTTAGGCACGCGGGGCCTCCGGGAGTCGCTGTGTCCAACCAGCCTGGTGCGCCTCCTCTGGGCCTTAGATCTGTGTTGAGATCCATTTTGGTGGTTGGTTTTTAACCTGAACTCAGTGCATTTTTAAAATCGTTACAAATACAAGATAAGGAGAACACGTGAACACACAGAAGGGAGAAACGTGCCTATTGTCGGTTCTGCAGCGGCGGCCAGAGTCTAGTCCACCAGTGGTCCGTTTCCCGTCGGGAACGTGAGACGGGGCAGAACCAGCCATGGTCCGTTCTGCATGGTCACGATAGGGTCCCTGTGATTCGCTGTCTCGGGTCATCCCGCATCCCCTAGCGTTTGTGCTTGTTCTTGTGCTCACACAGCCGCCCAGGAGACAGGCTGGGGGCTGTGGCCACAGCTCACGGACGCTCACGGACCCCTCGGAGGGACCCCGACCTTCCCTTGGGTCCGCGTGGGCATCTGGCTTGCTCCAGGCTGCCTGGGGTCTCACCAGCAGGAGTGCGGGCGGGCGGGCCAGTCACCCTAGAGCCTCAGCCCCCGGAGACCCTGTCTACATGTGCTTTCACTCCCTCAGCCTGCAAGGGTCGGATTTGCCATCGAAACGACGACCTCTACTGTTTTCTTTTGTATTTTGATAAACACTGAAGAAGCTGGAGCTGTTAGACTTTATCTTGGGGAAATCCTCAGAACTGGTTTATTTGGTGTCGTGGAACCTCTTACTGCTTTCAATACACGATTAGTAATCAACTGTTTTGTATACTCGTTTTCAGTTTTCATTTCGACAAACAAGCACTGTAATTATAGCTACTAGAATAAAATCTCTTAACTATTTCACGGCTTTCCAGTGCTTGGGTGCCGGCGACCCATGGCTTACCTCCGGGCATGGAAGGCCCCTGGCCCCGTGCGGGTCCAGCCCAGCAGGGCCAGCTTCAGGGCTCCCCACACGCACCCGCCACCGTGCACGCATGCGCACACGCACGCACCCAGCCGGCCTACTCCCGAGCAGCAGGAACCCCCTGGCCGGGCTCCGTGTTGCTGCTACAGGCCCCTTCCTGCCCCTTGGAGGCCAGCTCCGCAGCCTCGTATGGCTGTTGGGCAGCTGGACATGCCCAGCAGAGGCCTCGCTCACTCCACTAACAGGTGGAGAACCAGGGTCAGAGTCGGGAAGACAGATCGTCTTCGTAATTAGGAATCCAGCCTGGGCTGTGTTCTCACTGCAGTTGGTGAGAAGACGTCAGTGTGCTGGCTCGGCGCACACGTCCCTGCAGAGGCGGCGGGAGGCCTGGTGGACGGAGCCGTGCCCCCACCCTAACCCACCCCACCCCACCCCACCCGGGAGCAGCAGAAGGGACTTGGCAGGCAGGTCCCCGGGAGGCACGGGGAGGGGGGGGCACCACAGAGACAAGTTTGTGCCCCCCCCGTGCTCTGGGAGAGCTCCTCTCCCAACACGGTCTCCGGCCGGTTGTACTGGAACACGTGGCCACCACCCTCCCTGGAATATGAAATACTTGCCCCTTAAAATAAGTTTATTTAAGTACAAAGAGCGAAAGAAAAATAGAAGCGGCTGTGCGGCGCCTTCCCAGGCCAGTGCGACGCCCCCGGGGCAGGCCCTGCAGGTGGGACGCCCGGACGCCCCTCCAGAAGCTGCCGTGGGGGCCAGTGTCAGTCACTGTGGTGCGGGCGCCGCTTCTTGGAGCAGGGACAGGAGTCGCCGTCCGAGTCCGAGCCGTGCCCGCGGTGCCCGGATCTGGGGAGACCGGGGACACCCCGTCCGTGGGAGGCTGCCCTGCCCCACCCCCCAGGCCACCCACGGCAGAGGCACACCTACCCCGCAGAAGCGGGGGGCAGCGGCGAGGTCACCCTGCTCCGGTGTGCCTTGTCTTTCTTCTTCTCTTTCTTGTGCTTTTTCTTCTTCTTCTTCTTCTTCTCTTTCTTGCTCTTCCTGTGGCTCTCGGGGCTGTGGGACAGGGTCTCACCATGTACTGACCGCACGTGCCCGTGGCCACCACGTACAGCCTTCCTTCCGCTTGCGGCAGGAAGCTGCCGGGGACACCGGCCCCTTCCAGGCCTGCGGCGGGGGCGGGGGGGGGCGCGATCCCCAGCAGGCAGGCAGGGCGCCGAGAGAGCCCTTACCCGGACTCCGCCTTCTCCTCCTCCGACCGAGGCTTCTTCCTGGCCGAGGCTGGGGAGGAGCCTGGCCGACCGCTCTCCACGCGATGGTGCTGCGGGGGGAAGGAACGCTGGGCTAGGCTGGGCGCGCCCCAGGACGCCGGGAAAACGCACTGGGGGCCCGGCGTGGGCGTGCTAAGGGCAGTTACCGTGAACACCGACAGCCCCAGCTTGGCGGCCTCCTTGTCTTCTCGGGACAAGGCCACTCGGCCTGCGGAGCCGCTGCGGGAAGGAGGATGAGAAGCCCCACGATGAGAACGCCCCGGCCGCCTCCCTTGCCGAGTGCCGCTGCCACGCGCATAGCGGGCACCACCCACCCCGTCGCCACGCACCTGGAGCTCCCCAGGCCCAGCAGCCGGTCCACTCCCTTCTCCTCGTGGTCCCCTCCTTCCCGCTTACACACCTCCACGAAGTCCTGTGCGGAGGGCACGCGGGCGCTCGCAGCCGCTCCACCCCCGCCTCGCCCCCGCCGCCCCCCGTAAGGGCCCCCTCACCTCCTTGCTCAGGCCGGTGGGCTGCTTCCTCACGTTCTTGTAGCCTCTGCGGGGGCCGCGTGCGCGCTTCAGGGAGCGGCCGGCCTGGCCCGGGCCCCCGCCCCTCCGTCCCCTCCGCGCCCCCCACCCAGCGCGCCCCGATCCCGCGGGGCGCACTCACAGCGCCGCCATGAGCGCCTCCTGCTCCGCCTGCCGCACGGCCGCCAGCTCCTCTTCCCGGCTCAGGCCCGCGCCGTCCGCCCGGCCCTTGGCGTACCAGGTGAGGTCGCGGCCCTTCTGCCAGCGGCCCACCGGGGCCATCAGCGAGTTGCCTGCGGGGGTGCAGCGCCCGGCGCTCGGCCCGCGGGGTCGGCCGACTCCCGCGTCCGCCCGGACCCCGCGCCCGCGGACCCCGCAGCTCCCGCGCCCCCGTTCCCCGCACCCGCGGCGTCCCCGTTCTCCGCATCTGCGACTCCCGCGTCCCCTCATTCCCCGCACCTGGGATACCCTGCTCCCGCGTCCCCTCGTTCCGTGCACCCGCAGCTCCCCCGTCCCCATTGTCCGCACCTGCTCTAGCCCGCACCCGCGACCCCCTCGCCCCTCGTTCCCCACCCCCCCACGCGCGGGCCCGGCGCCGCGCTGACCCAGGTAGTTCTCTCTCTGTTTGTCGGTCTTCACGTCCTCCCAGTTAAACTGGTCCTGCCCGCCGCGCACGCCGCCCCGGCTGGAGCCGAACATGGTACCAGGCCGTCCACCGCCCCGCGGGCCTTCGGAAGCCCTGGCCTCGCCGCCTCAGGCGGCGCCGGCGCCGGCACCAGGTCCTGCGTCGCGCGCCTTGACGTCACCCCTGCGCAGGCTCGGCAGAGCCTCGCGCGCCTGCGCACTGCTCCCTAACCGCCGCGCGCCCCTACACCCCGCCCCGCCCAGTCGGCGCGCCTGCGCACTGCCCGGGGGGGGGGAGGAGTGGGCGTAGGCTCAGGCGGGACCTGAGCTTCCGGCCCTCACGACACCTGTCGTTAGAAGCCACGTTGTGTGGGTGACGCCGGGGTGCAGGGGCAGGGCCCCGAAGTCGCGCTGCGCGTGTGCCAGGGCTGTGCTGGGAGAGGGGAGGCTCCCGGCGGGGCCCCGTCGTGCCCTCTGTCATCTTGGAGCCTCGGCTTGCGCGCGGGTGGTCCCTGGGTCGGGGGGCTCCAGCGTGGGAGGGCAGGGGGCAGCCACGGGCGCGCCCCTCCTCTGCAGAGCTCGGGAAGACCACCAGTGTCGCCCCTCCCGCAGGAGCGCGTGGGCATGGCGCCACGGGGGGCGGCTATGGTGGGCAAAGCAGGGTCAGCTCGGAGCTTGCTGCCCCTCCTGCTATCAGCCCCCCCCCCCCACGGGCCTGGACACCGGGAGGCATCAGCATAGACAGCGTCTGAAGTCCCCCAAATGGGTGGGGGAGAGGTCTTGTGGAAGCGGGGATCGGGGTCCATGGACAGGAAGTCTCAGGGACCTGGAAGGGCCGGGCGCAGATGGGCTTCTCCGCTAGACCAGACCGCCCAGACTCCCGGAGCTCTGCAGACAGGCCGTGGGCCTCCGGTCCCTCTCGGCATCACCCAGTTATGGCCAGAACCCTCCCTCAGACCCCCACCCTCAGTAGGGCTGCAGGTTCCCATGCAGAGCTTGGTGGGGGGGGGGGGGTTGCCAGGCCTGCTTTCAGCAGCAGCCCCACTGCGTGGCTTCTGCCAGAACCCCACTATGTGGATGAATTTCGTATCACCAGCACCCACCCTGCCTTGTGGCTGTCAATCCCCGTGTCCGTGCTGTGCCCAATCTGCGCCCTGCTGCTAGACCCCTGCATCTGTGGCCGTGACCCCCCTTCGAGGAAACCACAAGCGTCAGGACTAACTCGGTTCTGAACAGCAAGTGTGTCTCCCCCAGCGGGCTGGTGGCGGTGTGCTCGGCGGACCAGCGGGGCCTGAGAGCCCAGCATGCGTCCCCGGGAGCGAGAGACACAGCCACCTCCCTCTCTCCTCGGTCACCGCCGTAGTGCAGGCCCTCCGGTTTCCGAGAGACAGCCTGACAGCCAGGGCCCCGCCATCAACAGCCCAGGACAGGACACCGGGCAGCCCCAGGCCCTTGCAAAGGTTGGGACTTGCCCCTTTGGTCTTGCAGAAGCCTGGCCAGGGGAAAACCCACCCCCGGAGCAGAAAAACGGCAGCTGACCCTACGAAGCCTGGTTTGCTGTTGCTTCGATGTGCCACAAGCCAAGCGTGGGGAACGATGGGGTGATGGCGCCTCCCGCTGAGAGCCCCAGTGAGGAGCGGGGTACGCCCGGCCCGGCTTCCCAGACACCCTGCCCCTCCCACCCAGTCCCGCGGCTGCCGTGCTCGGCCAGCAGAGCCCCCAGCGCCCGAGGCCGAAGGCAGGACAGCAGTGAGGGGGCTCCAGGGCCCTTCCTCCTCCCACACTGTGGCTCGTGTGCCCTTCAGGCCCTGTGCCAACACCACGGCCCCAGCCAATTCCGGGCCACCCGGTTGGCCTGGTCACCAGAAGGAAAGGCCACGTGGAGACGGCTTTGTGAACACACCATTTAAAGATACACCCTCCCCACCCAGGGCAGCTTCCAGGCAGGTCACTTTTTTGTCCAAAACCGCTTGTACCGCTCCTCGTCAAAGTCATCACTGAGCTCCGGCTTCTCCTCCTTTTTCTTTTGGAGCTGGGTCTCGCGTTTCCGGAGCCGCGTCCGCCTCTCCTCTGGGGACAGGGTGTCCAGGTCCACGGGCATCTGCGGGGAGGAGCGTGCCCACCGTTTGCTCAGAGGGCCCGGGGCCTTGTCCGTGTCCCTTCACCTCGTTCTCCACTGTGCAGTTGGGGGTGTTTACCTTCTGCTAGGTTTTGTCTCCCGTCAAAGCTCACAATCCTTAAGCAAACTTTTCTGCTTGTTTCCCCAGCACTGACGCTCATTCGACACACGGCTGCTGTCCGGTCCTGCCCCGCGGAGGGGACTCCACCCTCCGCTCCCCTCTCCTCATTCTGCAGTTCCAGTTCATGGCTCGCCCTCCCTCCCCCTTCGAGCCGCGCAGCTGCCGAGCCCGTAAGCCCCGGGAGGAGCGGCTGCTAGGGGCCAGCCCGCCAAGACCTGTACCCCAGGGAGCGCGGGGAGGGGCATACCTCCAGCACTCGTCGTGGTTCCCGATAGCGGATGTGGACGGTGGAGCCGTCCTGCTTGACCAGGAGCACGGGGTAGAGACGTGCATAGGCCTGTCGGTGCACACGCGTGAGCCAGGCCCTGCTGCTGTCAGCCTGCCGGGAGGACGTGTGCAGGCCGCGGCGCGCCGGAGCAGACCCCGTCAGCACATGCTGCCGCAGCAGGCTGCAGACACACACACGCTCCAGTCAGTGGCTGCTGCTGGCCCAGGCCGCCCAGCCCCTCTGGGGGCACGTGGTGATGCACGGCGAGTGGGGCATGGTCCCCAGCTCCCGCCGCATGCAGGAGACCGCTGGGCCCAGTGCAGGAGGCTTTCAGACGAGTGCAGGCAGAGGCAGCAGCTGGGACCCCAGTGGGCTCAGGGCGCTGTCGCTGCACAGCTCAGGAACCAGGCACACGAGCGTCAGGCCCGGAACAGACTTCCAGGGGAACCTACACCCAGTCCTAGGGCCGGGACCTCTGTCTCCCCCAGATTCACACATCGAAGCCCAGCCTCCATGGGATGACACCAGGCATGGGGCCGGTAGGAGATGAGGAGGATCACGTGAGGTCATGAGGGCCCCCGTGGTGGGACTGGTGCCCTTCTAAGAGCCAGAGAGCAGAACTCCACTGTAAAGACTCAGAGCCAGGAAGACAGGCCTCAGCAGAACCCCAGTCTGCCAGCACCCTGAGCTCAGACTTCCAGCCTCCAGAACCCTGGAGAGGAGGCCGCCCGGCCTGTGGCCTTCTGTTAGGGCAGTGTGAACAGACCAAGACACCTGCAGTCCACCTGGCTTCTGAGCGTGGCCGACACCTGGCCTCCCTGACACCTACCATAGCATCCATCCATCCATCCGCACCTGCTCGT